AACGAGAAGATGTTGCTTAGAGACTAAACAATGAGGAAGGAAAAAAAAAAGTTGGGCTGTGAATGACTGTCACCGCAGGGGGGGGGTTGTATGTTTAAACTGAATTTGTATTTGTATGTTTTATCCTTAAAAAATGTATAACTAATAATGACTATTAAAAAATAAATAAAGAAGACCTTTGACAAGGATCCTAATCTCAGAGTTCTGATTTGCTTGGGTTCATTAGTCGGAGTCTTGATACAAAGATTTTGCCTTGGAAGTTCAGAAGACAAAACCTCTGATCCCGGTGACCAACCCAGATTGGATCCTGCAATTCCTTCTTTTCTTTCTTCCTTCCTTCCTTCCTTCCTTTTTTCTTCCTTTCTTTCTTCCTGTTCTGACCCAGCCTTAGCAGAAGCAAGAAACAGACTCCTTGTCACAAACCCCCCCTCTTTATTTACCTCTTGTGAATTAATTGCATTCACCCACCGAAAAGTCCAGGCAATAGTCCTTCAAGGAGGTAATTGCAGTAACAGACCTTATCAGTTCTTTGCGATAATAATTGCAAGGCCCTGAGCTCCCAGCCGATCTTCAGAAATACAAACTGTTGTCTCCTACGACCACCAATCCCCTTTTCTTCTATTTATTCCCCAGCCAGGAAGGGGCCATTCAGCATCCACATGTGCTTTGCTTTCCGAGTCAACTCCTTGTCCTCCATTGTTCACCTCTAACTGCTCTGCGCATATGTGCATCTGGAACAAGCTCCAGCTGTTCTTCCTCCTCACTCATATCAGCCTCCAAAGGCAGTTGCCTCTCCGGTGGTTGGGAAATGTTGGATGGCCCTAGCTCTATCTCTGCGTCCGATGCAGAGCATCCATCAGAGCCTTCCTCAGACTCCAGAACTGGCCCAAGTTCCTCCCCAACCTCATCATCATTTGCCGCCAGTTCCACTGGCAGGCTACAACACTTTCTTTTTCTTCCTTCCTTCCTTCCTTCCTTCCCTGTATGTGAAGGCCTTGGTTAACAATCATTTGTTCAGCAACTATTCAAAGTTCCAATGTTGCTGAACAAGAAGATTTAAAGCCAGATCTCAGGGGTTCAGCATCCCCACAGTCAGTTGATCACAATTCAGGTGTTTCCCAACCAGCTCACAATTACAATCGCTGCAGCATCGCAGTCACGTGATCGCATTTACGACCTTCACTGCCATCTTCCAACAAGCAAAGTCAATGGGAAAGCCAGAAGGTCACAAATAGCGATCATGTTACTGTTGGATGCGGTGACTGCGCAGGATTCTCTGAATGACCACAACTGGAACTTCCAGCCTAAGACAGCAGAGACACCTGACACTGTGCTTTAGGATCGTGTCACTTAACCAGATCCCAATAAACATTGTTAAATGGGAACCACCTACATGTGTAATTATGTGAAGGGAAACTGTTTATACACATGGCAGACAAATCGAGGGAAATCAAGGGAAAAAAGTAACTCACTTGGCGCACATGTAGGCATTCTCCCCACTCAAGACATCAGCTTTTACAAATAATTCTAACGCCCGTACAATATTGGCTGCTTGCTGTAATAAAAAGAGAGAAGGAAATTTAATTAAGCTTCGGCTTGAGCACCTAGAAGTTCAGACTAGAGGTAAGTACCATATTTTTCAGACTATAAGTCGCACTGGAGTATAAGACACACCATGATTTTGAAGAGGTAAATTTTTAAAAAATGTTTTTGCACTCTGCAGGCTTTCCAAATCCTCTGCATGTCTCGCTTTTTGCAAAAAAAAAAAAAAAAAGGGGGACATGCAGAGCTTTGGGAGGCTCTTAAGAGTGCTCTTGGGGGCTGGGGGGACGAGCAAACAACAGCCTGTTTTTCGCCATTTTTTTGCAAAAAAAAGAAAAAGGGCATGTAGAGGCTTTGGAAGATTTGTAGAATGTTCCTGGGGGCAAGGGGGGGGGGGAAACAGCCCTTCCCAGCCCCCAGGAGCACTTTGCAAGCCTCCCAAACCCTCTGCACGTTCATTTTTGCAAAGGAGGCAGAGTTTCGGGAGGCCAAAAATGCTGTATTTAGTGTATAAGATACACCCAGATTTTCACCTTTGTTTTTTGGGGGGAAAGGTGCATCTTATACTCTGAAAAATACGGTAACCTTTCCTTGTGCCCAAAGATATATCTCTAATCATATGCATTCATATGCAGAGACAAATAAACATATGCAAACAGGTAGGCACGCACACTTATCCCCCAACAAACTCTTTCTTTATTTGCCTGCCCCCCCCCCCCACCTCTTACTTATCAATGTTGCAACTACTATTGTGTAATAACATAGTGCAGTATCCTTTTTGGGCATTTCAGGTCTAAGTGAGGGGAATAAACCATGAAAAGCAAGCTGGGCAAAAGAATTATAGTCTTCCAGAGATGGGTATGTCCTAGCTATTTCCTCCTAGTAGTATTTTAGGGGCTTTTACTCCTTTTTATACAGGACAGCTGCCCCTTTTCTGCAAAGGCCATAAGCTTTAAGAAATGGTATGCTTGGAACAGCTTCCTGTAAACATATCTACCCCATGGCTCAAAACAATTCAGAAGCTGGCCGCCAATATTTCATTGTTATGACAACTGACAACTGGGTGACACCATCCTTTGAGTTGGATTTTAAAGAAAGAAAACAAGAGAAATAACAATGCTGGCATACCCTGATTTCCAAAGCCACATCCAGGTATGGGTCATAAGTATCTGAAACACTTTTGCACACGGAGCACTTCACTGCAAAGAAAGCAGAACAGTTGCTTGCCTGTTCTTCATGGTCACAGCTCCCTGACAATGTCACGTTTCATACTGAGACAATGAGGCATGAGGCTTCCGTCTCTGCGTCTAGCAAAACCAGCACTGAAATCAGCTAAGTAACCTTCATATCCCCTTCATAGCCTTGATAGAGGTCAAAAACTAAAGGAAAACGTCTACAGCAGGAGTGTCAAACTCAACACCTGCAGGTCTCATCCAGCCCATGGGTGCTTAGATCTGGCCCATGCGGCCGCCTTGGAAACAATGAAGGACCGTCCCATGGTGCCTCTGCCAGCGAAAATTGAACTTGGGAGAGCCACGTGCTGCCCTCCAGAGCTCCATTTTCGGCTGCAACGGCCTCCTGCAACCCTCTGCCAATAAAAAGGGAGCTGGGGGGGGGGGGCTGCGCTGGCAGAGCACTCGGGCCACCACAGGCGCGCCCGACACAAGTGACATTGAGCTGGCCCCACCCACCCTAGTCACACCCACCCAAAGGTCAAACATAATCCTGATGTGGCCCTCAATGAAATCGAGTTTATCACCCTTAGTCTACAGTGTGTGGAAAGCAACTACAAATCAATTGAACCTATAGAGGTATAATTGGGCACTGAAGGGAATTTTGGAGATGCCATATTATAACAGACAGCCAAAATTTAAAAACTCCAGGAACATGGAAAGGAAACCTCCCGCCACACCCTCATCTGAGGCCTCGCTAAGCTGCGCTCACCACGAGATCGGAGGTAGCCGCCAAAGATCTGGTGCACTAACGTGGTAGCCTGAGTCTGGCGATCCAACCTGAAAAGACAAGCAGGCGGGTGACTAGATTTCAGAAATTGACCGTTGAACGGTCCTTCTATGTGCGCTGCGAGGGGAATCCAAGCATGGGTTAACTTTGTCCATTAGCCTGAGATTGAGTGATGCAAATTGCTGGCCACGCCTCCTCTGACTGGACTGGTTCAGTTTTGCATGAAGGATCAGCCAGCTTGAAAGAAGCAAAATAAGTCTAGAAGTCAAGGTAAGTCCGAATGTCATAGGAAAACATGGAAGTCCAGGCCCAGAACAGCCAAAGCCAAGGGCGGGTTTGGATTCCCCTCTCAGCGCACATAGAAGGACCGTTCAGGTAAGTCAACGATCGATCTAAAACCACCCTTGGCTTCAGCTGTTCTGGGCCTGGACTTCCTTTTTTCCTATCACAATCTGACTTGCCTTGACTTCTAGACTTATTTTGCTTCTTTCAAGCCGGCTGATCCTTCGTGCAAAACTGAACCAGTCCAGTCAGAGGAGGCGTGGCCAGCAAT